CCGGTGCCCTCTGTGTTCTGGGAAATGCTTCGTAATCAGAGAATCAGAGGAGAAATTATTCCTGGACACACAGAAAGGTCATTAGGGGAAATCAGTAGCTCCTGAGATGCTGGATGTGCAGCATCCAGGCTCCATGCTCCCAGCAGAGTGTCAAGGAGCAATGAGAGCTGCTAGCCCAGGCTGTGAGCAGCCAACAGGTGGGCATGGGCTTTAAAACACAAATATGCTCAGATTAATTATCGACTGCAGAGGAAAAAAAGAAGAAAAGTGAATAAGGGCAGAGTTTGCACAACCATGGGACCCTGTGAGAACAGCATCATCCTTCACCCTTCCACCTAAGCACACCCACTCCCAGAGGCACCACTATGCCCAGCCCTGGGATACCACAGACAGGCAGAAATAATATTACAATATGGCATGAGAATACTGCTGGCTATGTCTTCCAAGCTTAGAAAACCCTTTAAATTAAGGGGAGAGAGCTGAGGTAGCCCTGTCTGAGCTCACACTGTCCTTCCAGCTCCAAGAGCAGGAACAGAGCCAGCACAGACCAACTCACTGGCCCACCCTCTGGACCACTCCCCAGCTATATACACCTGATCCTTCTGGGGAGGGAAAATCCCAGCTCAGAAGCATGTGTTTGCTGCTGGTAATGGAGGGAAGAATCTGCCAGTCGTCACACAGAGAAATAAAAACACCCCCTGCCAAATATATTTTTTTTTTAAAAAAGAGCACTGCATATCCAAGAACAGAGGATCGTGCTAGTAGGACACCTGCATCCAAAGGCACATTTCCAACCTTCAAATTGCTTGACTCAGCACCTGTAATGTCTGTAATATGGCTTCTTAAGGTTTTTTAACCAGTAAAAGCCAGTAAAGACCTCCTGACCAAACACTAGAAAGAACCACGGACCCACTGTGGAGCACCAGCTGAGGTGGGGCTCCACAGCTTCCTATTTTTCTTCTGTCCTCAGATTCATCTTCCCTCCCACCCCAAACTCAAACCAGAGCCCCAAGCCTGCCTTTCACCCAGCCTTTCCTCCATAAGGGGGCTGTCCTCTGCAGTGGCTGCCCAGGGAGCAGCGGGCAGGGTTTAAGGGTCCCCCTGCCCAGCATCCCCTCTGCTCACAGTATTTACCTGCAGTGACATGTGCAGTAACGCACTTGTACGCACACAGGGATGTGTGAGCGTGTGTGCCTGTCCCAAGGGACACCCGTGGGTGCTGCTCTCGACCTCCCCTGCACTCCCCATGTAGCCCTGGGCTGGGGAAATGCATCTGCAGGCAGAGCACCAGCCCAAGGTTGGAGCTGGGGCCACCGACAGCTCCAGAAAGAGTCTCACATTTCAGTGTGCTTTACTGCAAGCCTTTAGCACAGAGGGGGTGTAAAACAAGTGAATATAAATCGAGTGAGGACAGGAGGCTCGCACCTAGTGCACAGATCAGCTTCATGCACACAAACCAGGCATATTCACATATTCTGCAGCCTGGCTGGGGCGCAGGGCAACAGCGTACACAAAGGGTCACTGTTATTATTTCTCATTTTTACCTCGGTGGCGCTTAGCAGCTCAGCTGGGCACCTTTTGCTCTCTGAGCTGTACATGCAGAGCAAGGAGAGCATCCCTTCTGCCCTGCATCATGGGACTGCTGCTTGCCTGCCTCCCGCTCTCTGCTGCTTTGAGCCCGTGCTCTGCAAAGGTGAGCTACAAGGTAATTTCTTCTTTGGAGGAGGAATACCAACAGTCCTGCCTGGCAAGAGTTAAAACCCATAAAACCAAGGCTTGTAGTTTTGTTTTCTTTCAATTTATACCCTTCACTTAAAGAGGGGTTGGGGGGGGGGGGGGGGGAGAAACGAGGGGGAGAAAAAAAGAAAGCCAGGTGACATATTCTAAGAGGGAGCACCGAAAACGTGTTAAGCACTTCAAAATCTCATATATTCAATCGGCCTCTGGCAAGACATCTGCCTAATGTTAGCGCTTAAATATCCTTTTCCATTTTACATGCATTCAAGTCTCATTTGAGCGAAATGAAACGGTATTATTAAAGGGAGATTTTGCACAAATGGCCTGAATTTGACATGTCAAGTTCAATGAGGCTGTTACATATGTAACACCGAGAAGGGCTCGGAGGCTGCCGCTCTTGAAACAGCGCCAGTGGCTCAGAAATGAAATTTGCATTCAGAGAGCCTTGCCTCGCAGCACGGAGCTGCTCACGAGGCTCGGTCGGACCCACACGGGGTGGAGGAGCCGTGGGGCAAGCACGAGCGGGTGTCTCCCTGTGCTTTGGGAGACTGGACACACCAAGAAGGCAGCAGAGCTAGAAAGCCAGGTACCTCATTCCCACTCAGGTCTGCTTTTCCAAGTGAAAGCTTGACCCTCCACCAGGGTTGGATCCTCCTGAGTGATGTTCATCACCGTTCCAACAGCTGGTGTTCGTCCCCTGGACGCACACAGCCCTTAGGCATGGATGGGTGCTGTCCTGTTGCCACTCGGCTCCTCCTGCCTTACTGCATGATGCTCCAGCTGGGTAGACCTTGAGATGTCCCTGTCCTGAGGCCAAGATGGTCACACCAGCATTGCCCATGGGAGGAAAAAGGGCTGTCCCTGTCTCTGGGGGATAGGAAATCCCACTGCCACCAGCTGAGCAAGGGGTTCATTGGAGTGGGTGAGTTGCTCCCAGTGATCTGGAACCATGAGTAGCATCATCCAGGTGGTGCCTACGGCTCCCTTGTATCTCAGCCCCAAGAAGCCCCTGTAGTCACCTGGAGAAATTCCTTTTCCCTCCTCTGCCTTCCTCTGAGCTCCCCACTCCAACCATGCCTGAAAGTGCCCAACACCCGGCAGAGGTGATGGCACGGGGCAGCCCCCCCTCCTTGCTTCTCCACCAGCCTCTTGATCTGATCCTACAACAGCATCTTGGCTGGTTCACCCCACCACACAACCCTGTGGCCATGGTCCCTCGGGAGAGACTCCCCAAGGAGTCCCGATGCTGCAGCAGCAGCTGATGCAGTGCCCGCCAAATCTCCGGCGCTGCAGGTTCAGCAGGCAGGAGGGGAATCTGCCTTCCTAACCCCGAGAATGGTAAATGTATGATTTTGCTGCAAATCATTAAGGTTTATTAAAACTTAACATCACAAGCCATGATTGGCTGCATCCTCTTTAAATTAAAAAAAAAAAGCCCTTGGAAAGCAGCCCCCTGGTTTGCTTCTCCCCATCAGACTGATAAGTAACAGCTGCTCGGCCATTTCGGTAACAAGTCGGTATTGGCAGGGAGCGGCCAGGGCTGCCGGTGCCCGTCACGTTTATAGGCCCACATTTTATTTTTATGTTTATTGGGTTATTTGAGATCATTATTAGTTTCTCTCTCTTCTCTTGTTGATGTGTTCTTGCTCCTGGCTTCTCCAGGCGGGAAAGGAAAGGTGGGGGAACGGGAAACAGGGCCACCCGCTACACTGAGCTGCCCCGCTGGAGCTGGGCAGTGCATGGGACTTCAACCCTCTCTCACTCTGCTGCCTGCTGTTCCTGCCCGCTCCTGCTGCCCTCCCTCCCTGCTGCTGCTGCTGCTGCTGGTCCTTGCATCGCTCCCCTCCAGGACTGGGAGAGCCCACCCCTGTGCAGAGCTGCTGTATTACAGATTAGCCTCCATTGCCTGAATCCATCGTCTAGATTGAACGTTATCTATCATGCTACGGAGGGAGTCGTTATTTAATAATTAATAAAGACCTCTGATTCTTCTTCGCCGCCTGCGTGGCCGAGTGGAGCAGGCCAGGGAAGCGAGGGCAAGCCAGGGAGAGCTGTCTCCTCTCTAACTGCTGCTGTTATTTAAAGGAATAATGCCATTCTTTTTCATTTGTCAGCTGGCCCACAATGGCCCTTGTCATGCTTTATGATTTAGGGTTTCCTTTCCTTTCCCATTAAACGCCACCTTCCCATCACCGCTTCGCGCCAGCCAGCCTCTGCTCCTGGCTTGCGGTTTCAGTTTCACTCTGATATTGGCCCAACTTCTTTGATGGGCTCCTCTGAGCACTAATTGCTTCTGTTCATTTAAACCTGTTCACTAATTTGCAGTGGCCCTTTATTAAGTTGGATGCGGCCCAAATTACGCCATAAATTACGCTTGCAAGGGGACTGGGTGTCGCAGGGGATAAATGGGCTGCCTGTTCCCTGCTCCCCCCCTTCTCTATCTGCCTGTGCAATGCCTGGGGGATGAGGGTCTCGGCTTGAGGCTGTGGGTGCCGAATTGGGGGGTGTCTCAACCCAGATCCATCTGGGGAGGTCTCTCTTTCTCCAACTAAAGCTCCCTCCTTGTCCCTCCCTGTGCAATGGCTGTTGCTGAATCAAAGAAGATCCAAGGCAGAGATGGGATGGATTCTGCATCCTCCACACTGCGCACAGCCACGTGCACCCCATCGCCCTGGCGTACACACACACGCTGACACATATGCTCTCCCTCCTCTCCTACCACCTGGTGACGTAACTTTGCTTCTAGTCAGCAGTTTGATTCCTTTCCTCACCTTTTAATGACCGGAGAATTCATTAATAATTGAAATAAACACGCTCTTTTCCAGGGCTGCCGAGTTTTATTAAGGCAGGGGCAGGGATATGCCAACCCTTGGCTGCAGCCATTTCCTAAATAACTGCCAGCAGTTAAAATGCAATTACTATTTTTTTTTTTAATAGAGGACTTTTCCGTGCTGGGGAAAGCAGAAGAGAGCTGAAGGTAGCTCAGGAGCAGCGTGCACAAATGCTGCAGGGCTGCTCTACCATGCAACACGAGTGCTGCTCACCAAACACACATCCCCAGGGAAAGGGATGCCTGTGCCCTCCAGGAGGCATTTCTGCCTGATTTTACCACTGCAGTGAACTCCAGGAAAATGTTTCAGCCTCGCTGTCTAGCACTGGATCTCCGGTATCTGGTAGCTGTGGGTACCACCACCTCCTCTGTCACCTGCAGGTGCCCCAGCTGGCTCCCTAGAGATGCTGGTGGTCCCCAAGGAGCTGCTTACCTGATGTTCAGCTGGGTGAGCTTCTCCAGCTCCTGTTCCATGTGCTCCTGCAGCTCCCCAGGGCGAAGGAGGACCTGGCAGATGGGGCAGATCGGAGCCTGGCTGTCAAACAAAGTTGCTTTCTTTTTGCCTGTGGGGAGGAAAAGAAGGGAGAAAGCTTTAGCTCAGATTGGCCGCCATCAGCATCGCCTTTGCTCTGCCCTGGTCCCCATCCTAGCACAGGACTGAAACCAGGAGATTTTCTCATGGTGTAGTCCCATTTCTCTCCCCATCCCACACTCCTTGGGGCAGAGATTGGCTCTCTTCTGCAGTGGGACAGCAACTGGCACAAGAGCATCCTAGCCCTGGCCGTGGGCCCTCCAGTCTTACAGAGAGAGCAGCAACAGCCACATTTCAGGAGTGAGCCCGTGCAATCCCAGCTTCCCCAGTTTGTGGTGCAGGTGGTGTGACTTGGGGCAGATGGATGACACAGCCCTGCTCACTGTTCCTATTAACTAATAACAGTTAATTATGAAGAGCTGTCTTCATCCTCCTTGGCATTCCTGAAGTTGAGTGGGTCGGGATGAGCCCTCCCCTGAAGTGGAGAGCAACTCTCCATGGGCACACGAGGCTGGGAGGCAGAGGAGAACCCATGGCACCAGGCTGCACGTGGCAGGGAGTAGGCCTGGATGCTCATCATCCAGGATTCCTCACCCTGTCCCGGGGTTGGGCTGGGGCTCCTTGTCCTCCCCACACCACCAGCAGCTCTGCACCCCAGAGCTGCCAGAGCCCTCATCCCCCTGGGGTTGTATCATCCCTGAGTGAGATCTGGGGGTGCCCCTACGCCCCAATCCCAAGCTGGGCTGAGTCCCTGAGGCAGCTCTGGAAGCGAGGTGCTTCCTCACACCCTCCTTACCCCAAATCCTCCCCATCACTCCCCTGCCCAGCCATATCTCCCTGGCTCTCTCCCTGCTCTGAAGCCAATTTCTTCCAGCTCAGAAACTTTATTGCCCCCTGTGTAAGGAATATACAGCATCTATTTAACATAAAATAAAACTCTAAAGCAAACAATGAAGTTTCAATAAAAGAGAGAAGCCCGTGGGTCCCCAGGCCCCCTCTCCCAGCTGTACTAGCAGCTCTGCTCATGAGAGGGCGTGCGGAGCCTGGCTCAGATGGCTCTGGCAGGGAGAAACGTGTTTTATAGCCGCCTGTTGTCATCCAACGTGAACCCTCCTGCTGGATTATTTATTTATGTATTAGACATGGATCAAATTGGTTAAATCCGAGTGAGAGGCAGCAATGCACAATAAAGCAGCCGGCGCTGGATACGAGGGGGCTGCGTGAAACGTGGCCTTCCAATCAGGAGCCAAAAGGTGCCATTTTATGGCTCCTAACAATGGTGGAGCCCAGTTAAATGAATCCCCATTAAAGGAATAGACCCTCTCAAAGGATAAAACATTGGTGTGAGTGGCTTTACTGAGTCCCTGCTCCTCCCTGCATAACCTCCTGGTGCAGGCGTTTAATGAGAGAAAGGGTCTGCAATAAGTTTGAGAGTCACCTTGGCTCATCTTTGCCTTCCAGCAGGACACAGTGTATGTGCCTGGTGGAAGCAGGGCTATCCCTGGGATATCACCTGCCCTTTCCTTCAGCATCCCTACAGGAGCTGGGAGAAACTGAGGCATGAGGGGCAAGTTGAGGCAGGCCAGTGCTACGGTGCATTCCCCACCTCCCCAGCTTCCCTATCCACTGGGAACTCTCCCATTTGCAGAGACGAAACCCCATTCTGGCCTCTCCTCCAGACCTGGGCTACTCCCAGAGGCTCTGAAGCAGACCTCAGGTGCCTCAGCCCTCATCCCCACCACCCTTCTGGGTGCTGGGGAGGACACAGCGTGAAGCCCATGAAGCAACTGGGAACACGTTCCTCTCTCCTCCTTCCCTCATGTTTAAATAATGTCCAGAACCCAACCCAAAACCAGACACCCAGCTCCTGCTGACCCTTGCTGGAAAGGTCGGCATTTCAGTAATTCCACCTTCCTCTTGGAGCTTTTCCACTTTTGTCTAGTGGGGGCCCAAAATAGCCCAGGAGCGTCCCCGACCACCTGCTATTTATAACCCCAACTTCATAGCAAAACAATGGAGCTGTCTGAGTCTCCCTCCCAAAATAAACAGGCAGCCTTTGAGTGGACGGGAAATCCTGCTGGATCCCCGCTGTGGGGTGTACAGATGGATGGGTAAACAGGCTGCCCTCCGCCCTACCGCGCTGCATCCCCGCCCCCAGCCCAGGCCACCGCTGTGGGGGCTGTGAGACCCCCTCGCCTGCTGTCCACAGCTTCAGCTGGTGGGGCAGGGATGCTCTCAGCAGCGTGGGAGGGTGAAACAGAGGTTGAGCATCCCTGTATCTGTTCTTCAGAGAGCCCAGAGGTGTTCGTTTGCTGCGGGAGGTGATGGAGTGTCCTGGACCCGGGATTGGCAGCCTCAGGAAGCGTAAGTGGGGTCCCTCCCAGGGACCAGCTCTGTACACCAGACAGGTGGCTTTTCTAACCTCCTGCACACCCAAGTCCTCACTCCCTGCTTTAACTCCAGTACTCTTCCATGGGTGCATGTTCCTAATCAGAGGTGACTTTGGATTTCTATGGCTGGAGCAACAAGGAGGGATCTCAGGCCATGGGAAGGAGCCTCGCTGTCTTCCATGGCTGGTCCCAACCCCAGCTCAGGCCAGCAGGAGAAATGAGCAGCAACGGCCTTTTCCACCAGCTACACCAATGATACAGTGACGAATTCATGCCAAGGAAGGATGTGACAGCTGTCACCCCTCATCCTTGTGACAGGCGGGGAAGATCCCCTTGCTCTGGTCAGTGCGGGCAGGATGGCGCTTGCACTGAAATGAGGGCTTCCAGAGGGGCAGGAGAACAGGAACCCAGACATGCAGCCAAGTCCCTGACGTACAGATTGCAAAGCAGGAGACAGAAGGAGCCCCGGCTCCAGGCCCGAGGGGCTGACAACCGCGCTTTCGCAGGAGCAGGGCTAAGTGCGCGTGACAGGCAGAAGGCAGGGACCATCTCCCCTGCCAGCAGGACACCTACGCAAGCCTCCCCAGGTCTGTGGAACCCTGCAGTGGTTCCACAGAGGCTGCTGTTGGGATGCGTCTCCCCAGATCAGCAGCACCCGCGTCCGCAGCGCGCCCCAGAGCCTCGCGCACGCCCACGCTGCGGTGTCTCCTGCCGGGCAGCGGCACCCAGCTCCACGGCGTGGGATGCTGGGTTGTGGGCAGGGGGAGAGGATGGGTTTAGCAAGTCCTCAGGTTATGTTTGTGAACACCAAGGTGGAGGAGGATGCGTATATCCCCCCTCTCCCTTCGGGAGCAGGGACATCCTGATATCCATGAAAAACACAAAGGATGCCTGGCGCACCACGTGTGTGGCTGGGCCATGCTGGGTGGGGTGTAGGTGCTCACCCCGCTGGATGGAGCAGAGGGCGTTGATTTGCACAGGGCGAAACAAAGGGTGCACATCCCGGAGTGGGATGGACCTGCGCCTACTCCCTGCTTGTCCTTCCCTGCCCTGTGCCAAACCCGCTCCTGGGAGACGCTGAATGGCCCTTTTCAGGCTTTTGTTTTTTGGCAGCTGTGTTTTTGTTTTCTTTGCCCCCTCTCTCTCCCCTTCCCTCTCTGGTTACTCGGTAGGCTCAGCTCCAGTGTTTACCCTCCTCGGCTCTGCCGTGCTTCCCCTGCTGCCGACCCCCCGCTTGCCGGTGCCAGAGAGATGAAAAGGCAGAGCCTCGGTGCTCCCGCTGTTTGCACGGTCTCCTGGGCTCCGCGGAAATGTTTAACTCCAAGTGTTGAAACCGAATATTTCCTGCTCCGAAAGCAGAGGGCTCCGTGTGCAGATGCACCCCTGTGTGGAGGAATTTATCCACAGGCACCTTCGGAGGGCATCTGCAAATGGATCCCAGCCCAGGAGGGGACCGAACCGAACCCTCCTGATCCCACCGGGGATGGAGGGCTAGACCCTGCACACTCAGTTACAGTGACACAGATCCAACACAGTTCCCGTAAGTCCTCTGAGAAAGGCCTGATTCACCACAAAGCAGCTGGTAATGGGACCTGGGCTTCCTTCAGGCTGGCAGTGGGGCTCAGGTAATGGGGACGCAAGTGTGACACTGAACAGGCACGGAGCCATGAAGTCATCCCTGCTCCTGCCCCGTGCCTGTGCCCTGACACCTCTGTGGGGCTTATGCAGGGTGGGAGTGGGTCACCTGAAAGGGAGAGCTTTCCCTCACAAGCAGAATGCAAACTGCTGTTTTGGAGAGCATTTAAGTGAGAAAAAAGGGAGCCCAGCCCACCAACAGCCACGACAGCATGGGGTGCATACAGTGCCTCACCACTACACAGCACGGAGGGAACGACCCTCCCAAATCACTCAATGAGCAAAGTTTACAAGACATGAGGGCTCTCTCTGCCCAGGAGCTCAGCACATTGCCAAATGAATGAAATAAATTGTCTGTAACTCAATTGTTCATCTGCACTGATGGCTTAATGCAGACTCAGGTGCCTCCCAAGGAACTGCTGCAAGGGGTGGCACAGGGGGTGCCACTCCCTTCTCCCTGTGCTGTCCTTCCCTGGGGCCATCTGAAACTTGCTTCCATGAGGACCAGCTGCTCTCTCCCAACTCCCAATTTCTCCCATCTCAAACTGTTTTCCACTTCTCTGAGTACCAAACCCCCTCCTCCTCTGAGACGCCTCCCTTCATCTCATCCTCGCATTTCCTCTCTCTCCCTCTTAAACACTCCATCTTTTAAACCCAATCAAAGCCAGTTGATCTGAAACTCTTCTGAATAGAAATGACCCCACACTGGGGCCCCGCGGCCCCGCACGCTGCTTCGGGGGCCGCTCTGAAACCAGGTGGGTGGTAATGGAAGTGCTGACACAGGCTCCTTGACAGCATCGCCACTGCCAGCGCCTGTAATAATCCCTCCCGGCCGCCCTGCAACTCCGTTTCCGCGGCGATTATTTTCCATTCGATGATGGGCTTGCTGTTATTTGTGTACTGATAGCAGATATCTCGTGTGACAAGCCTCCTTTCCTTCCAGCTCAAAAAACAATAATTCAAAGAAAGCCCCATATTATCTTGGAAATAGCAAAACACTCGCTCT